TATTAGGCAAACCAATATTATTTTCGATTTTACATATCATAACTATATATATATATATATATATATATATATATATATATATATATATATATATATATATATATATTATAGCATAATCCGCCTTTCGGTTCCCGTTCGCCAAGCCTGTCTATTCTGCCAGTCTTCTTCAGATAGATTTCTTGCTGACATTGCTTTTGAGATTCCTTGCATCCATGTTGTTGGTGGTCGTCCTCGTTTTCTTTTCTCTGGTGGTACCCATTCTAATATTTTTTTCGTAGTGTTTTTTTCCTCATACGTCTAACATGTCCGTACCATGTCAGTTGTTGTTTTTGGATGTTTTCTATAATTGATCTTTGTATATTCATTTGATTCCTTATGTCCTCATTTCTCACATGTTCGAATCTAGAGTTTCCCGCTGCTTCCCTCCAAAAATCCATTTTAACTGCCAGTAGGTTACCTTTAAGTTTTTGTGATAACTGCCATACTTCTGAGCCATAGGCGATTACTGGTTTCAATATGGTATTATATATTATTTTTTTCGTTTATGGTCTTATATTTTTTCTGCCAAAGTACTGAATTTAATGCACCTATAACTCGTTTTCCTTTGGTTATTTTGTCTTTTATGGCTTCATCAGTTCTTCCTGTCTTAATTAGTTTTATCCCCAAATATATACATTGATCGCGTTTCTTAATTTTCCCGTCTTCTAAGTCAAGGTCATCTGCAATATTATCTCCTCCTATTCAAAGATATTGCGTTTTTTGTAAATTTACTTCGAGGCCCCATTTTTTGTACTCTTCCATTAGTTTTGTAGCCATATACTCCAGGTCTTCCTTGTCTTGGGCAATAACTACCTGGTCATCTGTATAGTGCCACGTGTATAACGTTTCATCCCCAATAGATAGCCCCATCCCTTTACACTTTTTTTCCAGTGCCTGAGTGCTTCTGCATATATATATATTAAATAGCCATATGGATAAAACCATTGGAAACCTTATTGCCCATTTTAACTTTTGATATTGTGTTGTTATATAGATTTTTAATAGCGTCGATTAGTGGAACGCTGATACTGGTTTTCTCCAATACTTCAATTTCAATTTCACAGCAACACAACAGGCACCGTGTCATATGCTTTTGTTAAATCTATTAAAAGTAGATGCACTTCTCGAGATCTCAGTGTTCTTTTCTCGAGTATTTGGGATAAGCAGAAAATACTATCTATTGTGGATCGTCCTGCTCCGAATCCGTTTTGGTTTTCTGATTTAAAAGGACCGTATTCTTCGCCTATGCGTTCTTTTATAATTCTTCCATATAATCTGCTAAGCATGCTAGTAACAGTTATACGCCGATAGTTATTACAATCTTCCTTATTTCCTTTTTTATGAATAGATGTAATCCATTCTTCTTTCCAACTTTGTGGCACTGGTTCTCCGTGCAAGTATCTATTGGAAACTTCTGTTAGTATCTCAAATAGTTTGTTGGTTCCATTTTTTATTAACTCTACATATATCCCCTCTGGACCCGGAGCACGTCCATTTTTCAACAATAATACAGCTTTTTTAGTTTTTTCGATGTTAATTGTTGGTGGCTCTCCTTGAATCAGGACTTGATGTTGTTTTATGTTTTTGTATTCCGGTCTTTTTTTCTTTCAACAGTGTTTTATAGTGTTTTTTTTTTCATTTTTGGGCCCTATGGAGTGTATGGCTATTTGTTCTGTTTTGTTGGATCTGATGATTTTTATAAACCTCCAGGATTCTCTTGATTTGCGGCCGCCAATGTACGTATCTAATTTTAAAATATATTGGTAAAATATTCTTTTTCGAATATTTATTTATTTAATTAATTCATTCATATATCATAAAATAGCGTTACACCATAAGGTTACACCGTTTTAATAAACTCATTAAGTGGATTAGGTTTTTGTTCTTCTTAAATGAACTTTGTCCAGTTTTTTTTTCATCTTTTACATTTTTTTTACATTTCGAACACACGCAATAACCCCCTCTGTGGCTCAGTGGTAAGAGCGCCTGCCTTTAAATCTAAAGTTCGTGAGTTCGAATCCCACCTGGGTGGAAATTTTCGTTTATTAAAAAAAGTTAATAAGTGAAAATAATTTCTATCCTTGTGTGATCGGTACACACTGGAGGGGCCGCAGACGTTCGGATACAATTAGCGTCTCTTAGCAAAGACAATGACGTCGACTTTGCTAAGTATCAAGACAATTACTCTACACACACACACACACACACACACACACACACACACACACACACACACACACACTACACCTCAAATTGTAAGATTGGCGAATGGATTTAGTGTCCGCAGTCATTTAAACACAAACAAACAACAACAACACACGCAACCTTTTTTATTCATTTTTATAATTTTTTTCAAGTAAAAATGTATTTTTTTAGTTTTCCAAGAGTGCCGAAAAATGTTAATAATAAAAAACTTTAGGAAATATCTAACGTTGTTAAATAAATTATTAAAAATTTCCGAATCACTTTGACTAAATTTTTTTAGAGGGATCTCACAAAACCAATACTTTTTCTAGAAATGCTTCCTTTTTGGGTTATTTGCAATTTTTTATGAAAAACTCTGTCCTAATTTGCAATTCTTTAAAAAGCTTTATAATCTTTAAACCTTCACAAGTAAGAATATTTTGATTAAAATATACCAAATATTTTGAGCAATATATTGCTAAGTATGTGAGGTTGCAGTAATACAGTCGCGCGGCGGATAGAAAAAGTTTAAATTTAAAATTATGTTTTTAGCAAGGTAGAAACCATTTATCCTTTTCAAAATATTCTTACTTGTACATGAAGTTTTAAAGACTATAAGGCTTCTTGTAGAAGTGCAATTTATTAAGAAGTTTAAAAAAAAATCCTAAAATTCACTAATTAAGGCATATTTAAAACAAAAAAACGCAAATAACTTGAAAGAGAAGTATTTTTCGAAAAATTACCAAGATACGACCAAAGTACTTATTCTGATGACATTCTCCCAAGCTACTCCGAAAATTTTTCTGTTATGTTATTTGTTAAGCGCATTATGTACCATCAATTCCACAAACCAAAAAATATTTTTTAAATGTTTTGACTCAATTGTTGTCGTAGCTATATGGCAGTCCATATCTGGTACGTACTAATATGCGGTATAGTTTTGACGGCGAGATAGGCAGCCGTGCATAGTTTCAAGTTCATTCTTATTAAAATTCTGAACCTCGTGAAACAGTGTTCGAAGTTTGAGGTTGTTTTTATGATAAAAACGTCAAAAAGGTTCATCCTATTGTGGTACACTATAAAGTTATGGACTTACTGATTGTTTTTGTAGATATCGATCCGAAATTCTTTTATGGTAAAATGAGTGTAGTTCGAATACCAGATAGTAATAATAGTAAAGAATCAGATCTCTCCAATAAAGATAGCACAAATAAGATGATATTTTGTCAAGATAGTGGCAATGAGAAGCGTGAAGATTTACCAAGCAATGTCAAGGAAACTGTCATTCCTGTCACATCCTCAGATTTCTCAAATGATGATACACTTTGTTTAAAATACTGAGATATAAAAGAAATAAATCTCGTAATTGGGTAAATAGTACTCTAATAAGATCATAAAATGATACAAAATTTATTGGTTCTAAAAAATTGACCTTCCTCAATGTTACAAGTAAAAAACTTTGGTCCAGTTTTTTAAGTTTCTCGTTCTTGGTAGTCTTTTAGAGCATATCGCAGAAGAATTAAATTTATACTCAGTGCAACAATGTCCAAATAAACCAGGTAATATAAAAAAATACGAAATAAAACAACTTATAGGAATTACTATTTATATATATATATATATATATATATATATATATATATATATATATATATATATCCGGTTTTTTAGGCGTTACGCCCGTCCGGTGGGGATCTATGGAGGAGTATCACCGAGCCGCAAGCCCTTATCTCTTGCCGTACTGCTCCACCATAGGCCGATCAGATCCCAGCATATTCTAATCATAGCCGCAGATTCATCTAGAATTTTAAACTGCTGCGTTAGACTTTTTGTTTTCTGTACACCGAGCTGGGGCTCTATCCCACATCCACTGAACCATTCGACAGTGAAGCGAATGAGAGGCAGCCGCATAGCCCACTGAGCTATCTGACCGACAGGAATTACTATTTACATGTCGATAATTCACCTTCCATCAACAAAACACTATTGAAATGCCAATATTGGTCACCAAGCAAATATCGATGTGATGTGATCAGATTATTTAAAATCAGACCTGTTTTAAGCCAAATCAAAGTACGGCATCTTATGGTTCCAAAAGAAGAATTTCTAGCTGTAGACGAACAGATTATACCACCAACAGCGCGAAGCCTGGTAAATCCATATAATCCCAAAAAACCACATAAGTGGGACTTCAAAAACTTTGTAATCAGTGGTATTTTGGTATTTAGCTACGACTTTAATTTGTTTGCTAGTTCCCAAAGTAATATTTACCTTCAAAAGTACCAATTCTTACTATTCTTACAGCGACGGGGTGGTCCAATTAGCAGATTCAATACCAAAACATCAACAATATAAGTTGACAATTGGTTTATCAGAATACCTTTAATGATATTTCTGACCAAAAAGGGCATTTTACTTTTGAAAATAGTAAGATTAACTCTTGTTTTTGAAAATGTGATGCTAGCTGTATAAAGGTAATACAGTAAAGAAAATAGCCAAAATAGGCAATGAGGATGACGTTTAGTGTCATAGTTTAATAATAAAATCGTTACTACACTCTCAAAATATGCTGGAAGTGAACCAAAGGGAGAAAGAAAAAACAGATTTATTAAGAAGAAATTTGATTTACTCCTTTGGATACCAAACTGTCAATAGTCGACACTCTATGCAAAGCGGGAAAATCAACTAAACAGAACAAACAACTATACATCTCTAAAATAGATAAAAATAATAAAATTAATATAAAATACTACTATGTAAATTTTAAATAAACTTACTTGAAAAATTGGCACAATTGCCTTCACTCCAACGGTCTTGATCCCTATCAAATGTAGTAAATTTTTGCCCTTCGTGCCATTTCATACAGTCATCCGCTGTATTAGTTGCATTACCGCTATAACCGTCTACAGTTTTTAATACGTATCCCTCGTATTCGGGTCCTACTTTAAAAACTAAAAATCTAGCATAATAGTTTAACATATTATGATCAGTAAGTTCTATAAGCAACTCGTTTGTTTCGCTACCTAAAAGTATTATTAGATCAAGAGACCATTGAATTCTAAACATAAAAAATGTAGATGATCGTAATTTATCGTAAATGACATGGTTTTTAACCAAAATGATAAAAATGTTTTTCAAAATAAAAATTTTTGTGGTTATGTACCACATGGGAAATCAATTGATATCCTACAATCGATGGTAAATATATAACAATAATCTCAATAATAACATATCTTTAACAAAAGCAACAATGCGATTCAAAAATGCACTATCCAAGATCTTCATAGTCAGAAAAGTTCTACTATGAAACATATACTTAGAGAACTTCTTTTGAGAAGCCCTGAACGAATTAGAATACGGCCTAAAACGAAATTTAAGTAATGGAAAAATATTGATCGTTGCTTAAAACACCAACATAAGTGCCTAGATTACAATAAACGTTAATCCGTTTAGTTCAAATTCTAAAGACAAAAAACATAGACCACAGGGACTTACGAATAATAACAAACCTCTACTGGAATCAACGAGCACAAATCGTAATAGATAACGAACCCAGTCCAGAAATTGAAATCAGGAAAGGAGTAAGGCAGGGATGTAATATGTCCCCATTACTATTTAATGTATATAGTGAAGCTATTTTTGAAGAAGCAATATTATCATAAAGTGAACGAATAATAATTAACGGAAGATCTAATAACAACATAAGATATGCAGATGACACCGTGATTATTGCAAGCTCTGCTCAACAACTCCAATTACTGCTAAACAAAACAAACAGTTTCTGTGAAAAATATGGACTAAAATGAATATAAAAAGACCAAATACATGATAATAACAAAGAAAACAAATATACCAACAAACATACATTTGGGAAATAAACCGATAGAAAGGGTTGATAAATACAAATACCTAGGAACCTGGATTTCAGAAAAACAACCGAAATAAGAGCTAGGATAGAAATAGCAAGAAATGCGTTTGTAAAAATAAAAACAATTCTCTGCAACAAAGCTCTTAGATAAGAACTGAGAGTAAAAGCACTGAGATGCTACGTGTTTTCGATACTGCAATATGGATTTGAAAGCTGGACATTGAAGCAAGAACACATAAATGAGTTACAGTCCTTTGAAATGTGGTGTTACAGGAGGATGCTTAGAAAAGCATGGACACAAAAGAAAACTAACACGGAAGTATTGTGAGAAATGGGCATAGTATGCGAAATAATAAACACAAAAAAATAAGAAAGTTACAATATATGGGACACGTAATGAGGGTACAGCGATACGAACTGCTAAGGCTGATAATACAGGAAAAAAAAGAGGAGGAAGGAGTATAGGAAGAAGGAGAGTGTCATGGTTAAGGAATATAAGGGACTGGTATAAATGCAGTTCTATAGAACTCTTTAGAGTAGCAGTAGATAAAGTAAAGATAGTGATGATGATGATATCCAACCTCCGATTGGGAGACGGCACTTAAAGAAAAAGATAAACCAGTAGAAAGAGTGTAGCAAATATGCTAACTGGGCTGCAATATTAAGGATTCCTTGGACCAAAACTACAAAATAAAAACTCGTATCGCATGTGACTTAGAGTTATAACAGGAAAACAATTAACAAAAGGAAAGAGTAAAATATTGATCAAGGTTTTGAAACCAATAAGCTTAATCAGCCACTGAAGATTTTTCACGTATTATTCACAATGAAATAAGAAATTAATGTGAAGATCAAAATGAAACATATTTTTGTTAAAGCAGGTTAGGAATCAAAAAAGCACTATTTGCATTTAAATATTACTACAGACGTTTTAAGATCAATGCAAATATGTCACTGTCGTTTCCATTAATTACGAAAAGGCATTTGATCAAGTACATCACAAGTTAATTAATATATTAAGAAATACAGAAATTGATCATAGAAAAAAACATACTGTGTCAAACATAAATATCCATTGTAAGTATTGCCATTGTTACACGAATACGCAATATTATTGGTTTAGAGGCGTATCAATGTAATTATATAAACGAACACTCAAAAATCCGTGTACGGTCACGCAAATAAACAAAACAATTCATTTTTAGCAGAACAGTCGTGACTGTTAAGTGGATTATTAGGATCAATTACAAAAAAATATCATACTTTGGATACATTCTACCGCAATTGGCTATAATAATCTCAATCTTATTAGGATAATAAAAATTAAACGACAAAAGAAAATTGTAAATAGAAAGCCTTCTGGTTAAAAATTATCAAAGAATGGACTGAAACAAGAAGAGCAGGACGACTACATAATATTTAGAATGGCCCAAAATAAAAAGGGTTTTGCATAGTTATTCACCAATGAAAAAGGGACTGAATAAGTTAGACAACGAAAAAAAAAATAACTTTATCATATTTTTAAATCTTGAAAGCATATATTATTGCAAAAGTTATTTAAAAACTATAACCTATACTTACTTGTAAGTTGATGGATATTTTCTAAACCCATCCAAAATTCACCTTTAAGATTTCCAAAACCAAATTTATAATCCCTCCAGGGTCTATAAAAGTCTTCAGAACCATCAAATCTCTTCTGAATGTGTGTCCATCCACCTCCTTGAATTTTCATGTCGCATAAAACCATTAATGGTTTTGTTTGTCCACTTGGTAAAATTTGGTATGTACCAGACATTGTGTTACCTTAAACAATTAAATGTTTATTTCGTCCTTAACTATATTGCCTAAAATTTATATAAGATCCAAATATTCAGGTTTAAGTCCCACAAGACACGTAAAATAAAACAAGCTATAAGAGTGTCATGAATATTCCATATATATATATATATATATATATATATATATATATATATATATATATATATATATATATATATATATGTATATATATATATATACATATATATATATATATATATATATATATATATATATAAAAGGATCACTCAACAGAGTTGAGTGACTCACACGAGTGACAAAGGTAATGCTACTGTCCTTATGGATAGAGATCAATATCTCAGTTTGAGTAAATCACTGTTAGATGATGATAGATATTACCAACCACTTTCCACTAACCCTTGCTCTAAATTCACAAATAAAATAAATAAATTTTTAACACATTTGAAAAACATTAAGATCATAGATCAACCTTTAGCTAAAACTTTACATAATTATGATGGATATGCTCCTAGATTTTATTGTCTGCCAAAGATACATAAACCTACACTGAGCATGAGACCTATTGTGTCCTCTATTAATTCACCTAATATCAATATTGCTAAATTTCTAACTGACATCCTTTCAAAGTGAAGAGAAATGTTTAACAATGAATATCAAGAAGACAAAATTCATGATTATTTCAAAAAAACAAAGATTGAATGCAAACCTGTATATTCACAATAACGAAATTGAACGGGAGCACAAATATTAATACGTGGGAACAAGTGTTAATAACAACAATGACATCACAGACGAAATAAACACTAGAATTGAAAAGGCTCGAGCTGCTTTTGTTAATATGAAGGACATTCTGGGAAGTCATGACATTAACTTAAACCTGAAAATGAGTTTAGTTAGATGCTACATTTTTTTGATACTGCTGTACATACTAGAGACTTGGACTTTAGACAAGAGCAAGACCGATAAACTAGAGGCCTTCAAAATGTGGTTTTATAGAAGAACTTTAAAAGTACCTTGGACAGACGAAATAACAAATAGTGTAGTTCTTCGAAGAATAAACAAAGAACAAGAGCTGTTGATCAACATCAAGGGAAGAAAGTTGGAATATCTTGGTCATGTGATGAGAGGGAAAAAGTACCGATTGCTCCAGTTAATTATCCAAGGAAAGATTTAGGGCAAACGAAGCGTAGGGAGAGGACGTATATCTTGGCTGTGCAATTTAAGAGACTGATTCCAGTGCACATCTAACCAATTATTTACAGCAACAGATTCAAATATACGAATAGCAATAATGATTGCCAAACTCCGTAGCAAAGAGGGCACTTAAAGAAGAAGAAGAACATGAAACTTCAGCTTTTTATCATTTACTTTTGCGGGATTTTTCATTACAATGTATATCATTATCCGTTATTCCTGAATTATACATTTGGTGTCATTAGAACATGGAATTTTATTCCACCTACGACTGTAGTAGCTCGTATTTTCCATCACAACAATGCTATTTGGTGGTATATTTGACAATAACCTCGTTTCAAACCAATTTTTGAATAATTCTAACTTGCTTTCATCATAATAGTCGACACAGGATTACTTAATGTTTTTGCATGACAAAGCTAGTTTCCTGTATGTGTCTCTTCCAAGTAAGTCTGGACCAAAAGGTCAGTTCTAAGACTTTATTATAATCAATATCATCTAGTAATACTCAGTTGTATGTCAAAGTGGGATTATCTTTTGTCGTTCTTCTGCTAAATTTCGTGATTTTATAAAAATTAATGGGAAAATTCTAGTAGTTGGCTGTACACCATAGTTAAAAAACTTATGCAGAAGTAAAAAACTTCAAATTTGTATCTTGGTATAAAAACATTTAATTTAAAACTTGTTAAAAGGTTCAAAATTTACAGCTGCATAACGTAACGTTTTCGATCTAGCTCAGATCGTCCTCACTGCTTTCTTTTGGTACTTGAAGCTAACAGTTAAATTGTAGCAATGATATCGATATAGGGTTTTACATATTTAAATTTAAATTCTAATGCAACCTTAGGTCGATGGCAATGGATAACAATTTTAATACTTAAAGAGCAACATAATTCTTTGCTCGACTTAAACATGTGGTTCTTGTCAGTTAAAACGACACAGACCAACTGGACTGTTGGTCCAGTTAGTCTATGTTCTCTTCGCTGTCTAAATTGCTAGATTTATTCTCGCTATTGGAAATCAGAATTGGAAAGTGATTTCTATAAAAGAGACTGTCGAAGATATGCCAGTTTAATAAAGATAATGACTTTCGGCCAGAAAAGCTCAAATTGATTGCGAAAAATGTGACAGAAGATATATTAAAGTATGTACTTGATCCGGTATTTATTAGGCAACTGCTAAAACAATTTAATACATTTTCAATGACTTTGTCCTTCCAAATATTTTATCAGAACCACTCATAATATTATGTGCATTAAAGTCACCTACAAGAAGGAGTGGAGAAATGATGGATTAGATCATACAGCTCCTCTTTAGAAAGTTTGTAATTGGGTGGTACCTACTTGCTACAAACCGTAATATTGTTGTGGCAAATGTTTGTAAACATATAAAATCTGCCTCTGTTTTTGCTAATAATCGTTGAATTCTTTTATATCTCGGAAAGAATCCGTCCAATTTGAAAGGAACCAAGTAATTCAAAAGTAGATTTTTGGGACTTTTGTGATGTATCTGAATGATAATCATCATCAGTGGATGATTATGATACTTCAGCGTTGCTATTATCTGTGGTTAAATATTTCTTAAATTTTTTTGTAGTTCTAGTAACTCTGTCCTTAACTGTCCATTTCTCCATGATTGTCTAGAAATTATTCGAGATTCATCGATAATTCATTGCCTTAGCTATGAAAGACTTGCTGGTTCAGTTTTGTAAACTTTTCGCGCATTCAGTATGAATTTCACACGAGTTCAGCTATTCAATACAAGTTCAACCATATGTTCACTTGATTTTATGTAGTCTGAAAGATCTTAAATACATAAAACAGTGCAAAATATGTAGATTTTAATAAATTTACATATTTAAATGGAGAATGCTGTGATTTTGACATTTGTTCACCATTTAAATTATGAACTAAAATTGACAGTAGTTGTGGTTCAAAAAGTTCTGCAATTTAAATTGCTTCTCTAAAATGCCGTTCTCTAAAATGCCGTTCTCTAAACAGTTCTCCTATTCATAAGACGACGGTACAAAAAACTGTAAGGCGATTTGAGGAATCTGGAAAAGTAAAAGATAGATACCGATCAGATTGACCGAAACGAGTTATCAATGACAACAAAACTTCAGATATAAGCAAAGTTTTGTTGAATATCCACATACATCCCCAGGCAGGGTTGTACAAGTACATGATGTAGGTCATTCTTCAGTCTTACGTTTATTACGTAAAAATAAATTTAAGTCATACAAAATTAACTTATTGCAAGAATTAAGTGAAGATGACTTTGGTCGTAGATTAGAGTTTACTGAGGTAATAATGAATAAAATTGAAAATTATTAAAATTTCGTTAACAGAATATATTTTTCCGATGAAGCAACTTTTACACTGTGTGGAAGTGTAAATCGACACAATTTAAGGTACTGGTGAGACGTAAATTCACACTGAAGACTGAATGCGTGAAAACCATACTCAAAGACCACAAAAATTAAATGTATGGTCAGATATAGTAGTTACTTATTCAATTGGGTCATTTTTTGTAGAAAGAAATTTAACGTCAGATAGTTGGTGTAAAGGTTCGGCGATATTTAGATGAGATATTTCCTGGACGATAAATTGGTAGACAAGGTAGAATTGAATGGCCTCCACGTTCACCCGATTTCAATCCTAAAGATTATTTTTATTAGGGATCCTTGAAAAATTCAGTTTACAAAACTTAACCAGCAAGTCTTGCAGAGCTAAGGCAACGAGTTATCAATGAATCTCGAATAATTTCTAGACAATCATGGAGAAATGTGGTAGACGCCTTTTACCATCGATTAGGGTGCTGCCAACTCACAAATTGAGCACATTTTAAGCACTTAATAACGTAATTACTATATTAAAAAATGTTCTAAACTATTAATTGTTACGTTTTAATGTATTTGAAAATAGTTAGTATTAAAAAATTTATTGAAACAATTTAGGCGTTGCCAGACTTCGGTTTTATGTATTTATGACCTTCCAGATTACATAAAATCATAAGTGTTACATATGGTTGAAATTGTATTGAATAGGATATTTTTGGTGTTTATTACACCATGAAACGGAGCTTAAGAATCACTTTAAAAATCGAAAATTTACTGGGCTCTATTTTTTTTTGAATATCTGAGTTTAAGTTAATAGAAAATGCGTATTATCTCGTGGTTATTGAACTTTTACTGCCTCATGACATTTAAGCAAAAAAAATGACTTGTTTTATTAATTTCAATATTCTGAAAAGACTACGCATTTAGATAAAAACTTTCCAGATAACTTTTTTGAAAATACTTGCTCTTTAAAATGAGATTTTCTAAATTAAAAAATGTATATAAACAAACAAGTTATTGCATGTAAAATCCGAAAGTAAGCATGTTTTTTAATTGTTTATAAATATTAAAATAAATAATCAAAACATTTTTAAATCACATTTCATAATGTGAGATTTTATACAGTTCAAGTAGTTTTTAAACAATTATATTGCTTATCCCGTTTTAGAGAACAAAGTTTATTGCCAAATGGCTGTAAAGGTGTTTTGTCAATACTTTCTTACTAATAATTTTTTTTGGTCTGTAAATCTCCAAATGGCTGTAAAGGTGTTTTGTCAATGCTTTTTTAATAATAATTTTTTTTTGGTCTGATTCTCTTTATAAGGTCTCAAATTTTAATGTTCTTTTAAAAACTATAATAATGTTTAGTTCTTTATTTACTAATATGCGGTATCATATAGACACTTTTCCACGATCCTGGTAGAAAATAGGTCTTCGTCAGGGAAGTGTCCCTGCCCACGCGAACCATCCTTTGCTCTCAATTCCTTACTGAGAGAAATCATTTTTCATTCCTTTATCCTTCAAAAATCTAGTTTTCTACCTCGTATCCCTCCCTGTTAAAGGGCAGCAGCGATCATCAGTACCAGTTCAAGGCGTAGAGGAAATGATCCTTGACCGGCTTGAAACTGGATTACCACCAGCATGACTGGAGCAGTTTGAATGGTTGTGGTACTGCGATGAGGAAGCCAACGGAAAAACCAGCCCATTATATTTTCCACAAATCTAAATGTCAGACGAGAAAAAAAAAATTGCCCTCAGTCCGGGGCACCCCTTAAATGGAGAGAGGTTGCGAAGAATCCTCCCGTCAACTACCTAAGAAAGTGGACAAAAAATACAAATATATGACGCATTGCTATATAGAACGTACGCAGGTTATTTATGTCCGGGAAACTTTTTTTTTTTCGTCTTTATAGAGGGGGGTCTGGAATTTTGTTTGTTTGTCCGGGAAACTGGCAAACACTGAAGACGCGATGTTAAAACTGAAAATAGACATCTTGGGGATGAGTGAAGTAAGATGGCCTGGTTTAGAAGTACAAGAAGCAAAACGTGGATACATATATTATTCAGATAAAACCGACCCAAAACACTAATATGAAACTGTTATATTAGTGTCGAACAAAATTGCTCATCAGTCACAGACTTCATCCCTCTAAATGATAGAGTAGCAATGTTGAAATTACAAACAACTCACAGAAATCTAAATATTATTCAGGTATATGCTCCAACAAGTGACAAGTCAGACGAAGAAATCGAAAATTTTTATAACAACATAGATGAAATAATGCGACTGACAAAAACAGGTAAGATAACGATGATCATGGATGACTTTACCGCTAAAATTAGTCGTGGTGCTGAAGGAGACCACATAGGAGCATACGGTCTAGGTATCGGGAATAAAAGAGGAGATAGACTGGTACAATTCTGCATAGAAAACAACTTGTTAATAGCCAATACCTTCTTCAAACAACATCCTAGAAAGATATACACACGGAAATCACCTGCAGACGGAAAAAAGAGAATTGTTAGCAATCAAATTGACTTAATTTTGCTCAATAACACCTTTAAGAAGTACATACAATCTGCGAAAACAGTGACAAGAACAATAGACATCTCACAACTGAGGAACCCTAAACACAAAAAAGAAATAAGTATCAAGCTTGAAAAGGAAGTAAAAACGATCGAAAACTTAATACAGACATACATTGAAGTACCATGGACTAAAAACAATAATAACAAAAATACAAGAAGAAGTCATCCGGTTCATAAAACACAAAAAAAACAAAAATGGATAATGTAAGAGATCATGGACCTAATGGACGTAAGAGGAAAACATAAAACAAGGCCAATAGAATACAAGCGAATCAATAAAATTATTAGAAAAAGTTCAGGGAGGCGAAAGAAAACTGGATGTCAACAAAATTCCTAGAAATCGAACAACCTCATGAAAAATACGACACCTTCAATGTCCATAAAAAAGTGAATCAAATGACAGATCGACACACAAAGAGACAAGAAACAATATTAAGAAATAACGGGATAATTAAAGGTATAGAAAACAAACTAGAGAGATGAAAAGAATACTCTTTTTGACAACGATAGACCTTGTTCTCCACCATCCACAGATAATCGAATAAATAAAAAAGGCCCAGAAATAACCAAAGAAGAAGTGATTTACGCAGTAAAATCTCAGAAAGATGGAAAAGTCACCAGTCCAGACAATATCAATGTCGAAATACTAAAACTAATTGCAGATAACGAAAGTTACAGCCTAGACTTAATAACAGCACTATTCAATAAGATATATGACACAGAAAAAATACCAACCGGCTGGCTAAAATCAACATTTGTAGCATTACCAAATCGAATTACTCACAATGCGATAATTATCGAATATAAAGCTCGATGTCTTATGTCCTTAAAACTTTTCATAGAATTATCCATACACGAATTTACAAGAAGTGTGAGTTCCAGATGAGTGACACTCTATTCGGATTTTGAAACAACTTGGGAACACGAGAGGCTGTTTTTGCTTTAAATGTGTTACCGCAACGATGCAAGGACATGAATGTAGAAGTATATGCATGTTTTATTGACTATCGAAGAACATTTGACTGCGTTAAATATCCAACGATGATCTAAATTCTGAGATGAACTGGAGTTGACGAACAAGACTTGCAAATTATCTCAGAACTATACTGACACCAAACGGCAACAATTGAAATAGAGCACACAACATCCGAAGATATACAAATCCGACGAGGATTGTGACAGGGTTGCGTCTTACCATCGCTACTGTATTCAGAGTCAATTTTCAGAAAAGCATTAGACGAGGTCCAAGGCAGAATTAAGATTAACGGAATCAACATAGACAACATCAAATATGCTGATGATACCGTCTTAATAGCAAGCAAAGCACAAGAACAACAAAATATAATAAATGCGGTAGTTCACCACAGCAAAACGTTTGGTTCGGAGATGGCTCCATGAGAAAAAGAAGAATTTACAAATATCTAATACAGATTGTGGTACCAATACCATTATATTGACAATATCCATAACATGCCGCACATTATATGTATAGAATGTTTTGAAACAAATATAATATCTAAACAAAATTTAAAATCCACAGTATGGTGGAGAAATGTAGATGATGTATTCTCAATATGGAGTCATGGAACAGAGTTGTTGGACACATTCCTGAATGACATAAACAATAAAGAAGATACAATACCGTGGAAAAGTAATTTAATAATACACTACCTTTGCTGGATGTTTTCACAAACGGAATGATGGAATGGAATCATAAACAAAGATACTGGATAAGACTCTCAGGTATATAGAAAACCAATACACACCAATAGATATCTAAATTACAAATTAAACCATACTATCAATTTTAAATTAATCAATAATATCAATTATCATCATTGTATATGGTTGTCTGACAAATCACATTCCATGATTTTTCTGACGTATGAAGTTAAAGTTAATTTTATTTAAACGATTGAACTATTTTACAACAATGTCGTTCCAGCAACGCAGCTTAGCAATACTGGAAATGTGATTTTAAAACCCTCTACTTTAAAATGTATGATATGTCTAAATTATCTATATGAAAGAGTCAGATAAAATTAAATTATTAGAAAATTTTGCACCAAGTAACAAAAACAAAATTTGTTTAATATATTAATGTTTCCTATTTTGAGAACGATTTCTAAAGTGGAAATTAAAACGTTAACAAATTTAAAATATGGCTTATTTCCAACGAAAATAGTAATTGCATTAAGATGACACAAGAAGATAGCTTCAGAACAATATGTGTATTTCCAAGGTTCATGAGGTTTTGCACAAAATCTACTTAGCTCCAAATCAAATAAAGCTTTAGCCATTTTATGTTTGTAGGGAATGTACTAGGTCTATTTTGTTAAAAACACTTTAAAATACATGTGAAGCATGCAATATCGTGAAAAATAAAAATACATATATATTTTTTCTATTTAGGTACGCAAAATTTTTTATATAGAAGTGACTACTTATATTACGTATTACGAAAACGCATTATGCAACAAAACATAGTTCTTTTAGATAAAGACATGTCGAAGCCCTTAAGTGATTTTTATTACCAGGACTAACTGAAATGCTAGCGGTTAAAGGTTAAAATCAATTAGTAAAGCTACATATACCTATAAAGTATAAACAATACCATTTTTGTAAATCTCTTTGCAGCTTCCTGGAATATTTAGGTTTGTGTCTTTGGTTTCAATTATTGGACAATAGTTGCCTTTACTGATTCCAACCAAAAATTGGCAAGTTTCAACAAAACTATTAATTTCATTTGATCCTAAAACGAATTTGTATAAAAAAATCATGTCAAAAAAATTTTAAAAAATTGTATGTGAAATTTAACAACATAATTATTGATAAGAGTTTTTCGAACCTGAAAATAGGATACATGTTATTAAATACCAATTTAAATTACACAAACAGTAGTGAAATAACTTACCGGTTGTGACATCTCTGATATTATCTTCACGTACCGTAGGATTTTCAATTTGAAGTGTGAGAACAATTTTAATATTGTCTTTTATTTTATTTAGTACAGCAAACTTCCTCATCATCTCACTATCATTTTTGTCATCAATATTATATGAATTTGTAAATGACTAAAATAAAATCAACAGTAAAGTTAAAACGAATTTAATTACATTTGATACTGTTAACTATGCGGTTAAGTTTGCCAAAAAGGAGTTAATATAAGGAGGTAATTATTTTCTTTAATTGACATAATTTAGAAGTGCATATAGAAAAATAACAAAAAACACATAAAATCTTTAGTTGAGTTACAAAAATAAGGATCAACGATTTCAATCGCTGTCTCAGTGAAAAGATATACTATCATTATCATTATCAGTTGGCTTTACAGGCCTTCGTCAGCCCTGGCCTGTCCCTTCAAACCTTCTTCCATCCTTTCCTGTCGAGTGTCTGTATTATTCATCCCCTTACTTTAATGTTTTTTTTAAATCGTTTTGCACATCGTCCAGATATAAGTTTAGGACCTAGTCCTTCTTCTTCTTCCGACAGATGCATTTAGCATGGTAATTTTAGCAAAATCACTTTCATCCATCCGCATAACGTGGCCCACTCATCACAGACAGTTTATTTTAATAGTTTTCACTATATCCGCATCACCAAAAGGTCCATAGAGTCCATGCCCATGTTTGTAATTTATAAGTGAGAACTAGGGATATTATTGGTTTTAAAGTTTGCACTTTGTTGCTATTGACATATTTCTCGCTTTTAGGACCAGGCTAAAAGAACCGGTATGTGAGCATCCACGTTGTATACGATTATCTTGGGCAGCGGTTGATAAACTCAACTATGTATTTAAATGGGATCTACACATATTCCTCAAAAGGAAAATATTTGACCGATGTGCATCACTGATTATCACTTATAAAGCGAAAACATTAACATTTATAAAAAATGTAGTAAATAAAATTCGCCAGACTCAAAGTGCTATAGAGAGCCAGATGTTGTGTGTTTCTAAAAGACCGAATCCCAAACGAAGAAATACGTATCGTTAGAACACCATTGGGTAGGACACATTGCCAGATTATCAGACAACCAATGAACAAAACGTATTTTCAAGTAAAGACCAAGACAAGTCCAAGGCACTACAGAGCAAAGGACGCACATTAGCCAGATAAACTGACGACGTGAAACATGTTGATAGAAAGAGCCAAGGAAGACCTATGTCCAGCAGTGCACGCATACAGGTTAATATTAATAATGTTATTTTTGCAGTCAACCAGTAACCCTATGTAGCATAATTTTTACAGTTTCTCTAGTGGTGTGTTGCAACTTTAAATTATTTTGTTGCCGATATAGCCTGAATATACATAGTTTTCCAAATATTGGCGTTTATCAAAAATAGAGGTTCTAAAGTAGGATGTTAATTAAAAGTCCAATGTTTTCTCTGGCGTTTTTGATACATGTGAAAGTTTCAACTGCTTCATTTTGGGTTGTTCCAAGGATTACGATTCCATCAGCATATGTCAATATTTGTATACCACGGGTATAACCATTACTGTTAAGTTTATTTCCCAATATCTCATAACTTTTTCCAAAAAGAGGTTAAATGATAACGCATATCCCTGGTGCAGTCATCTGTTAGTTTTAAATGGTTCTGCCAAATCCCATTGTACCCGCAGTTTACATTCAACTTTCCTCGTTTTCATTTTAGTTAATTTTAATAATCCTTTTACTATTCCAAATTCTAAAAATCAGTCCCGGAAAATTACAAAGGAATTCATTTATTATACACAACACTAAAATTAATAACAAAAGTGATAACTAATAAACTGAATGAAATTATACCACTAGTAGAAGAACAACAAAGTTTCAGGTCGGGAAGATCATGCACCGACGTTATATTTAGAATAAGGCAATAGAAAGAGAAATTATTAGAATATAACAAATCGACATAGATATGTTTCGTGGATCTTAAGAAGGCATTTGATCGGATCAAATTAAATGACGTTATCCACTTATTGTATGCAAGAGAGGTACCTCTAGAAATAATCAAAACGATCAAAAATATTTACCAAAATAACACAATAAATGTAAAATTGGATGAAGATCTAACCGATATTGAAGCAGGCGATTGGATAAGACAGGAAGATTCCCTTTACCCTCTATTTAAGGTTTAACCTGATTATGGACGAAATAATAAAAAAAGTAAGAATTAAAAAAGGGCACAAAATGAGAAATAAACAACTTAAAATAATCTGCAATGCAGACAACGCAACACTACTCTCTTAAATTGAAGAGGATTTTCAACGTATGCTGCACCAACTTAAAATAACCGCCAGAAAATTTAACATGTTTATTCCCCCAAAAAAGATAAAATGCATTGTTACAACAGAAAATTAACTAAGATGTAAATTGAAGCTGGAAGATTAGATAATAGAACAGGTAATGGAGTTTTAATATCTAGGCATTACATTATCTAACTAACTAATAGAGCAAACAGAGCCACAGGCTACCTGAATGAAACAATATGAAAAAATAAAAATATCGGGAAACGATTGAAAGGCAGAATTTACAAAACAGCATCAGACCCATAATGACATACTCGGCAGAAACACGACAGGACACAGAGAGGATAAAAAGGTGATAAAAGCAGCAGATATGAAAACACTTGGAAAAATTGTTGATAAAACACTATGGGACAGAGCTAGAAGTAAATAAGGACAAGGTGAGAAATAAAAGGATAGAATGAAATGATCATATAATCTAAATGACCACAAATAGAGTAGTGAAGACAAGAGACAGTTTACCAATAGGAAGACAATTAAACCTATGGAACGACAACTTACTGGAGACACTAAAAAAAACAGAGAGACTCATGTCCATATAAAAAGAAGAAGAAAAAGAAAACACATTTTGATAGATAAATAGATCCATTGCAAATTCATCAGCTGGTAGATAATCAAATAAATTATTGTTTTCAGTCTTATAATTTTGTTCAATTAGTAGAGGAACCTACGCGCATAACTAACAGTTCACAAACATTGCTCGATGTTATTTATACAAATAAAAGTGAACTCATTAGACATTGCGGCGTTTTAGATCATGATCTATCTGACCATAGAGCAGTGTACTGTGAATTTAATTTAGATATTAATTAAAAACAAACTATTCAAAGATATATAGAAATTACAAAAACTTTTCAATATCTTCTTTTAACGCAGATCTGGAAAAAATATCATGGGATAATACACTGTACGAAAATTTTATAGATAATAAAATTCGAATTTTCAATGATATGTTAGTTTCGCTGTTTGACAAACATGCTCCCTATGTTGAATCAAAAATTACAAAGCCACCTGCTCCGTGGCTAATGCCCACAATACAGAATATGATAAAAACTCGTAATGCTGCTTTAGCTAAATATAAGAAAACTAAAAACGTCTTAGACTATAGTTACTATAAAGATCTTCGAAACGCAGTTACTAACGCAGTCCGTCTGGAGAAGAGTGGTTATTTAAATTATCGGTCTGCTTCTTTAAATAAAAAAGATCTTTGGAAAGCTATGAGGTTATTCAAAATTGTAAATAAACCAGTTATAGAGACCCCTCAGGAGCTTAAAGATCCTATCTCTATAAATAACTATTTTACATCTGTTTTTAGCCCCGTAAATTGTTGTCCTGAGACAACCCAATGGTACCAGTCAAGTATTTTCAACCCAGATATTACTTTCTCGTTTAAAATGGCCACTATTGATGAAATTAAATCACTAATATTAGGGTTAAAATCGGAAGCTGTTGGATGTGATAGTATTTCGGCAAAGATGCTACAACTCTCCCTTTCTATTACTGCTCCTTATATTACACCTACATTATAAATTGTTGTTTGGAGGTAGGTTATTTTTCGGACATTTGGAAGTACGCTTTGGTAAAACCACTGCCCGAATCAAATAAACCTGAATCACTTAATGATCTTCGCCCAATAAGCATTCTACCGGGACTATCAAAAATGTTAGAAAAGGTTATTTATAAACAGATATACGATTATATTTTTAGAAATAATGTAGTTACGTATATACAATCAGGCTTTAGGAAAGAGTTTAGTACAACGACCCTGTTTCTTGACTTAACATATAATATACTTCGATCTTTTGATGAAGGAAAAGCAACCTCAGTCATCTTGCTTGATTTTTCTAAAGCCTTCGACACTATTGATCACGCTCTTCTGTGTGCTAAATTGAAATATTTTGGATTTGATGATACCTCCTTACAGTTTTTCAAATTTTATTTGGTTAATCGTTATCAAAAGGTCATAATCAATAATAATTCATCAGAATTTGCATCTGTCACTTCAGGGGTGCTTCAAGGATCGGTTCTTGATCCTCTTCTTTTTTAAATATATATTTCCGACCTGTATAAATCTTTAAATAATTTGAAATTGCACTCTTTTGCAGACGACACACAACTGTATTTCTCTTTTGAACCTAACTCTGTAAATCAAGCGTCACAAAAAATAAATCAGGATTTGGAATCTATTTGTACTTATTCCACTAGACATAATCTTAAACTAAATGCTAAAAAATGTAATTCTTTGGTATATTGTTCAAAAAATTATAAAGCCACTGTCAGGATAACTTAAAACTAATTATAAACAATGAACCTCTAAAAAATGTTAATAGTTGCAGGAACTTAGGAGTCATATACCTATGACTGTACGCTACGATTTCAAGAGCATGTCACCCTTTTAGTAAAAAAGTGCTATTTAGTTATGCGTCAACTGCATAGAAGTAAAGGCATTTTTAACTTTAAATTGCGTAAGTTACTTTGTGAAACTATGGTAATGTCAATTCTTTATTATGGGCTCTTGGTATTTTATCCTTGTTTGGATCAAGTTACGATATTAAGGTTGCAAAAAATTCAAAATAATTGTTGCAGATTTGTCTTTGGCATAAGAAAATATGATCGTGTACCATGCAAAATAAAAGAACTTCAATGGTTAACCATAGAAAATTTATACAAATATTACCTCGACTCATTGATATATCGTTTACTCATAATGCTGTTTTAGTGTTTAATAGTTTAACAATAAAGTTAAGGGGTAAATCTCTTGATTTCATAAAGCGGCATTATAAGAAATTTTTACTACAATCGCAGTAACGTTATTATTATTATATAGTATATTGTTGTCGTTATTGTTACCATTAGATATTTTTGTTTTTGTTTATCTTTCATATCCTATATTACACAATATTACAAATTATTTTTTTTTATATTATTTTTCTAATAGCCACATGACTATTTCTATCATTTTAATATTATATTAATATTTATGTCAAATTATAAATAACTTTTTTTCATTTTTAAATTATTTTAAACTAATTTTGTAAACTTGAGGTTAAGTGGAGTGGCTCTAGCTAGACTTCGCCCCATGTACCTAGTGTTTGTAAAATTTTACAGACTAAATAAAGGCAATTTATTATTCTAGAATGCAGCCAAAATAAGGAACTGGATCATTGAGGCTGGATTTCTCAGAAAAGGAGAGTTGTTTTCAACATTCCCAGAAAAATCTTATAAAAGATATACCTGGATATTTATAAAAAAACCTGCATTTGAAGGGCAATAAAAGATAACAAATTAACAAAGTCACGTAAAAAAAATTTGATTACCCACTGACAGTGGGCATCAATAGTAAAAGCATATCTCCCTAAAGAATTTTGAGGTTATAATGATTGATTATTTGACTCTCATCGAACAGATAAAATATAACGCTATAAAGTTAAAACAACTCCAGAGTAGTTATTAATTATATTAAAATCAGACAAATTAAATACAAAAAAGAATTAATATAAATATAAAGAAAAGAGAAACATAAAGCAAAATAAACAATGTCTTAAAACTACGAATTTAAATTTTAAGAGGACTTAAACATCAATTATTTATATATCTTTATTAATATAGATATTTATATACTTACAGAAGAAATTGTTAGTAACACAAAAAAAGTCGAAAGATTGTACATTTCTTTAAGGATCATTTTTAACTATGTGTCAACAGAAAAAAATATCCAGAATTTATAGTTTCTATGCTTTTATACAAATTTGTATATGGGCCAGTAAAATTAGTTAAAAAATTGGCAGATATCAATTTAAAAATTTTGGCCATTAATATTATTTAGAGTAAGCATTTTTTACTTACAGTTACTTACAGTTACTTTCTTAAAAACACCTTCTCTTAGTAAGTAAAAACTCCCTTTGACAGTAAAATTGAAGTAAAATTAAAATACGCAGAATACGCTATGATATTACATTTCAAGTTCCTCCAGTATGCTGCTCTGTTTGTTAATTTTTATTGTTTATTCGCTTTCGTCTCTTTTAACTTTTATGTTTTGTACTTTGGTGTTTTAATATGCTAAAGGGTCTATCTGACAAGGGTTAAATATTAAATGCCCTTAAGAACATTAATACAATTTAGGAGTTAGTTTATTATTATAGAAGTATCAATTGGGTAAGCACGGATTTACAAGACCAGCAATTTTATAACAAGGGTTTTTTTCATATCACTAATAAATTAAAGATCAGAAGAAAAAAATATTAAAAAGTTATTTTGATGAGTTTAGGTTCTGTCCTTTGATTCTGGCTAAGGTCTAGTGTTTTACAGACAATTGTGCATTAACAATTGCTCTTAAGATTTTGCATCTTTTCAATATAGCAATATTTGACTTACTAGTACAGCCCTAAAGCTCTATTCCATATGTTTATATATTGGTTTAATGATTGTTTTATAAATTAAAATTTTGTTAACAACAAGAGAAATCATACGATTTCCTACCTGGCGAAACTGATCTCAAATTTTTACAACTGTGCCTTCTACAACTTGCAAAGCAAACAGCTTGATGAATTACTCGGCAAGATAATCTAATATAGCATTCCACTTGCCGTTCATCATGGTCAAAATTCGTAGTGAATTCAGTTTATCAAATTTTCTGTATTATGAATTCATCAAGCTGTTTGCTTTACAAGTTGTAGAAGGACAGTGGTAAAAATTTAAATTCAGTTTCGCCAGGTAGGAAATCGTATGATTTATTTTATTGTTATTAGATAGCGTTGTTACGTGTGTAAATAGTTATTTCGATAATTATTGGCCAACGACGAGATATATTTTGTTTCGATTTAGAGCAGTGGCATATACCGCTCTGATGAGACCTAAAGAGGTCGAAATATGTATGAGCGGCTTGCCGCTGCCCTGCATCGAAGCAAAAATCTAATACCTTCATTATGTTTTATTTCTTTACTGTATTTGGAGTACCAGAAACTGAATTTTCTACGAATTTTGACCATGATGAACGGCAGGTGGAATGCATATTTAAGATTCCCTTGCCAAGTAATTCATCAAGCTGTTTACTTTGCAAGTTGTACGAGGCACAGTGGTAAAAATTTAAATTCAGTTTCGCCAGGTAGGAAATCGTATGATTTCTCTTGTTGTTATTAGATAGTGTTGTTACGTGTGTAAATAGTTATTTCGATAATTATTCGCCTACTACGGGACAGATTTTGTTTCGATTTAGAGCAGTGGTATATACCGCTCTAATGAGACCTAAAGAGGTCGAAATACGTAGCGGCTTGTCGCTGCCCCGAATCGAGCAAAAATCTAATATCGTCATTATGTTTTATTTCTTTACTCTGTTTGGAGTACCAGAAACTGAATTCACTACGAATTTTGACCATGATGAACGGCACGTGGAATGCATATTTTAGATTCCCTTGATTACAGTTTTTTTTTTCAATTGGGCAATTTATTTCTGTTTCTCTTAATTTTCTTTGTTTTCTTTTTCTGCTAACGTGTTCCTTTAAATGCAAAGTTTGATGCAAATGTAGCCCAAGGCATTTGGTTGTTTTAGTCCTGGGTATTTTCTCATTGTTGATATATATGGTGGGAAAGTTTCTCGTCGAAAAGTGAAATATAATGTGGGTTGACTTGCTTTCGGTTATTTGAAGTTGGTAGATTGGATGTATATAATAAATATAATAGCCGTTCCTGAATGCTGCCGTGCGGAATTCCCGCATTAATAAGATGCATTTTAGACATTTCTACTGTCGGTTTTCCAAGTACGATGTAAGTACTCGAAAGAATGGTGGTATTATCTGTTTAATTTTATGAAGACTTAATTATAAACCTTATTAAAAGCTTGACTTACGTCTGGTGATACCAGCATTGGTATCAATTGGGCAGCATTCATTTTCTTCTAATGCGGAATTATTATCATCAAATCAATATTATTATTATGTATCAAATTTTATTTGTTATTAGGTGACATTGCTAGATATTTGAGTGTTCTCGTCGAAATCTAAACTAATAATTTGGTATCCAGTCTTCAATAGTAATGTCTAAACTTATTTTTTTATTAAAAGTTTTTTTAGTAATTTAGAGATTATTAATAACAGACTGATAGGTCGATATGATCAGACTTCAATGGGATCCTTTCTTGGTTTTGAGAATAAAAGTATTTCTGCAATTCTTAGATTATTAGGCCAATAATTACACCTTAATATTGCGTCAAATATACATGTAAGGCTCTTTTTTGGGCAATTCTTTAAATATTCTGTCGTTATTAGGTCAATTCCTGGTGATTTTTTAATAATTCGATGATGATGATAATAGCGTATTTGGCATGAAAACTAGTCCATTTGCCATAGATTATACCAAATTTATATTATAGATCCAGATGCATATAAGTCATATGAGTTCGTTTATTGATGTCTAATTCAGTGACAGTAGGTGGGTTATGTTTACTGAAAGTTGCTTACTTACTTTTAACCAGATTTTTATAAAATGTTGACTAGAGTGCTTTATTTTTAAAACATCCAAACAGGATGTGATTAACATTACACTGGGACATATCATCGTCTGAGAACTTTCCTGGTCCTATAATGTTTAATCTAGCCAGGTGAGCAGGATCTGCACCGTGATTAGTTTTTAACCTTGTGGTAGTTGCTGCTGATCGTTTGGATATATTATAATGGAATATGTGTGGTAATTCTGTTAGGGATGGTAACGTAGGATGAATCATAGGTAATAATGATTATTTGATGTGTTCGCCAATATTTTCCATTCGTCTTGCCAGTTATTATTTATTTTTTTATTATAAAAATTGATTAGATCTGATACTTTGCTTATATATCGAAATGAGTAGAATCCTTAGCGAGTTCGTCTACTATTTCATTGCCTTTTATCACAGTGTTACTTTTTGTCTAAATTAATGTTACATCTTTGTTTCTCATTTTTTGTTCAATGTCACATATCAGCTCACATATTTAATGATTTAACTCAGTGTTATTAAATCCACTAAGAACTGACTTATAAATTGAGATGCTCACAGCATCTTGAAAATTTTCGTCCTCTAGCCAATTCAGAACGTTTCTAATAGAATCCGCTTCTGCAGTGTAAATAGAGCATTGTAAAGGAAGTTTTATTTTCAATAATTTGTTATTGGAAGAAATATACACTGCAGACCCTACCTTCCCATTGTTCAGTTTAGAGCTATTTGTGTAAATTATAGTTTTATTAGTATATTCACTCAATATATAATTTAACAACTTGATATTAATTTGACGTGAATCTGAATATTTCGGAAATATAATATTTGGTTTTTTGAAGATCGTAAAAATTCTAATTTATATAAAGATATAATAAAATTTGTTGAAAGGATAACCGGTCAATAATTGCTTCCAGAACGGCATCCGCTAATGGTGGTGAATTTTTTATTTTGCAATAAGTGTTTACCAGATTTTGTATGCATAATTTATACAGCATACTCAATAAGCCGCTTGTTCTGGCCCTATATTTTAATACATGTTTTATTGCCAATAAATAATTTCTACGATTTTCTAATGGCATTTCATTAGTTTTCAGCAAATAACAGAGGGCATCGTGTTGATTTTATAGCACCTAGAGTTAATTCCAAACTTTTAAACTGAGTACGATCTATTTTTAGTAAATCTGTATTGCTTGCTGATCCGTATAACAGACATCCGAAATCCAAAATTGATCGCACGTAGGTCCTGTAAACCATCAAAGCAAATTTTGGGATCAGCACCTCATCTCCTGCAAGTGACACATTTAAGGAGATTGATGCCTTTCTTAATATTTTTTTACATATTGGACATATTTTAGACCATACTAATTTGGAGTCTAGGATTATACCAAGATATTTATACTCACTGACAACAGGTTTACCATATCCTGACTGGTTTAGATTATCAGGCGTTCGTATTATATGTCTTGTAGGCAGATTTTTCTGGGGATACAGTTTCCAGCACCTTCACACAATCTTCATATAAATCACGGATGAAATAAATACATATATCATCGGCATACTGAATACATTTTATGAAATCAACAAAAATGCTGTGTATACTTGCCGAAAATATATTGAAGAGAATCGGGCTTAATACAGACTCGTGTGGTAATCCTGTATGAGATTTTATTGGACCATGTATCTGATTAATATGGTCTCTGATATATAAAGTTCGGTTACTAAAAATACTTACTCTATTAACGGATAAGTTTGTGGACAACCACTGTTTGTAACTTTTTAATATTTAGTCTCAAGATTTCTTCTTTAAATTTTTTGGCGTTGTTAGTCTTATTGTCATTAATGATGTTTGTTTTGAATTTATATAATAACATCTTGATCTTCGTCATTGTTGTGTGGTTGGAATACTATTGCTATATGTTAAGCAAATAATTCTGATTTTTCTTTATCGCTTCTTACCCATTGGTTCTGTAAAGCTGTAGTGTTTCGTACTGATGGCAATATTGCTTTAATTTTTTAGGAATATTTGATTGATTTTGATATTAAACAGTCGTATCTATTAAGGTGTGTTACGAGAGGACTGGTCTTTTTTGGGTCCGTTGGCCAGTCCGTTGGAGATCCTGTTGATAAATAGAAGTGTTTATTTTCTTGTGTTAAGCTATAAAGCTCTCTGCACTTTGTTGTTATTAGCCTTGATACACAGTAAGTGTGTTTACTATAAAATCAGTTTTTT